GAGAGAAGTCACTGTCGGAAACCGTGAGTTTTTCTGTCCAGAAAGAATTCTCCACGATGTGTTTGTCCAGCTAAACTTGTCCTCTGAGATGCTGTGTGAATAAAGGTGAAGCATGTCTCGGAATCCCTGCCTTTCAGAAGCTCATAATAGACATGAGAAATAGTAAGGGCTTCAGAAATCCTGCAATTAAAAATCCAATTTAATTTTTCACTGTATTTTGCTTCCCTCTTTTTTAAATTTCCTGCTGAACAACTTGAACATACTGTGGAGTTAGTCTTCTGTGGACCTCCCTGGGGAAAACACAGGTATTATGGCTGAATAATCTATATTAAAGGAAAAGTGCTACAGAACAAAGTCTGCAGGAGAGAGGCATGTGGAGGGGTTACAGTTAGGAATGCCTTATTGGAAGCTGCTGTCACAGGCAGAATAATGTCCCCTCCTCGAAGATGTCGACATCCTAATCCCTGGAACCAATGAATATGTTACCTTACATGGTCCTATGGACTGAAATGTGTCCTCCACACACCAGATTTCACATGTTGAAGCTCTAACTCCCATATGTCATAGTATTTGGAAATGCGGGGCCTTTGGAAATGATTAGGTTTAAATGAGGTCCTGATGGTGGAGCTTTCATGATGAGATTAGTATCCTTGTGAAAAGAGATCAGAGAGCTCGCTGTCTGCCTGTCTCTCTTTCTCCGTGCCATGTGAGGACACAGCGAGAAGGTGGCCGTCGGCAAGCCAGGAAGAGAGCTCTCACCAGAACCTTTCCGTGATGGTACCCTGAACTTGGACTTCCAGCCCCCAGAACTGTGAGAAAATAGGTTTCTGTTGTTTTGCTACCCAGTCTATGGTATTTTGTTACAGGGGAATTAAGGCTGCTGATCAACTGACCTTTTAAAATAGGGGGATTATCCTGTATATTTTACGTTTATTAGCTTAGAGTTAGCTCTGAGTGCAGGGATAAAATCTTACTCATTTTTGAATTCCCGGTATCTGTCACAGCACCTGGCATATAGTAGGCTCTGCCTTTGTGGTTACAGAAAAATGTTGTAACCGTGGGCAAATGAGAGATATTCTGATAGCACATTAAGTAAACAAGTAGTAAATTTTTATATCACTGAAATAATTTTAATTCAAAATTCACCTTTGTTTTAATATTAGAATATATACCAATATTCTACTGGTCATTTCAATAGCAAAATGGAATTTGGGAATAGATATTTGTGCTCCAGTAAACGTCACACCCAAAAGTCGTCAAGGAAATTTAGAAAAGAAGACTGAACACGTGAAGCAATTGAAACGATTGTCTTAGAATAATCTATCTTAGAATAATGGATTAATTATAAAGATGGCAGGTGTGAATTATTCATTCATCCACGCGAGAAAAATTTATTGAGCATCTACTCTATGTCCCGTTCCTGAGGATACAACAGTTAAAAAATGTCATAGTAACACTTCTATGAAGTTTATAGTCTTCAAAAGTTTACAGAAGTACTCAGGGACGTTCATTTGGGAAAATATCAAATCTTAGGGCTGGAAGCAACTGCAGAGATGAACCAGTCAAATCCTCTGTTTTGTAGATGACAAAAATGAGATCTGAAAAGGTCAATTAAATTAGGTAAATATATATAGTTTTATAGCCTAGTTGCCACAGAAAATGCAAAGTGCCTAGTTCAGGTGAAAGTATGCTCCCAATATAAGCTAAAAAATTATTCATTGTTTATCTGAAATTCAAATTTAATTAGGCATCCTGTATTTTTATTTGCGAAATCTGACAGCCCTAAATTTTCGGGGGATGGAGGTAAGGTCATGGCAGGAAGCAGAGTCTCCCTTTGTATGAGCTGTTTGGGGAGAAGAGAAAAAGAGAAAAAAGCAAAAGAAACACCATAGTTCTTTAGAAGGGAAACCTACTAATGGACCTCTCTCTCTCCTTTTGATCCTTTGTGCATGGTGTGTGTGTGTGTGTGTGTGTGTACACACGTATGGGTCCTTGTGTCTTACTGACACAAGGATTATGGTATTGAGGAAAATTACTGACAGTGATACTGATTACAGATACTGACATAACAACAGTGAAAAGATGAAAAACAATAAAAATGTGGTTAGTTTAAAAGCAACACTAATGACTGCATTTAAGTAAACTGCCTCTGATTTATGCCCAACTGGCACACAGCCCAATCACAATTTTGCTTATTCCCAATCTTTGCATTTTCAGAGAACCATAAAATGTTTCTAAAGGGTCTGAGAAATCACCTAGTCCAACCCTGACATTTACAGACGAAGTAACCAAGACTCAGAGAGAAGAAGTGACAAACCCAGGACCACCCTGCCTAAGAATTTAAATAATAGAACAATATTTTTTGAGAGCTTACTAAGTGCCAGGCATTTTTCTAAATGCTCTACTTGTAGTATCACATTTAATCATCACAAAGATCCTATAATCATTCTCATCATTCAAACGAAGCAAACTGAGGCAGATAAAGTTACGTAATTTAGCTAAGGTTCGAGGTTATACAGCCGATAAGGAGAAGTACCTGCTGAAAACCCAGAGTTTGGCACTAGACCTGCACATTCAATTGTGAAACCCTGCGGCCTCTCCAGTAAGATGAGTTTATATCACTAAACAGGTTGGCCCATGTAAACTTTCATGTTTATTGCTCCAGTAGCAGCGCTTGGCAGTTAATAACAAGGTCACTGGAATACAGCTTATAGAAAGTCAGTTGCAAGCTGTTACCATACATGTCAGTTTCAGAGTCAAAACAGTTACCTGTTCCCTTACAAACCAGCCCTACACACAGGCCCCTTGGTATGATCAATTTCGTTTCCTGTATTTTTTGTTTGAAACTTTTTAAATGAAATACACCAGAACCCACTGTCAAAGCAAACATTAGCCCTGAGATAGAGTTTTATGAGTTCACATTTTGAGTAGTTTGTGAACCAAAAGAAGAGGAAAAAAAGAAAACAAGAGAGAAAGAGAGAGAGAGAGAGAGAGAAATCAAAACAGAGAAGAGGCCTTCTTTATTCATTGTTAGCCATAAAATAAATCGAGGACTCTTAGGAAGAGGCCCTCTTGTTCGCATGCTGCCAGCCAGACTTCTGTGCTCCCGCAGCTAGGGTGTAATTATCTCCAGGAAGAATAATCCCCGTCCTCAACACTACATTTACTTAGTTTTACATTCAACTTGTCTTCTTCTCTATCTTTTAGGAGATTATCAACCCCTTGCATTCAGAGGACCAAACCACTTTGTCCATTTCCAGACCCCGTTTCCCTGTTTATCAAAGGTAGAGGATTAAGCCTGCCTATGTCTGCTTCGATAGCATAGCATGTCTTCCCAAAGCAATCCTTTCTGTGACACAGAAGCCTGTCCCAGTTTAAAAAAAAAACCAAAGTGAGGCTGCCATTGGAATTCTCGGAAGCTGCAGAGTCTAGGTCTGCAGGGTCCACCTGGGAGACACCAGGACTCCACGGACCCACCAAAGCAGGAATTAGGAGCACTGTCTTCCTTGCCTCTGCACTGCAGCTGAAGGAAGCATTCGTTTGGTAAGTCTGTTTCGCAATTCTACTATCAAGTACATCACCAAGTCCATCTAGAGACAAACCAGCTCCTCCCCTGCCCCTGCAGGAAACTGGCAAGGGTGCCTTTGAAATGAGCGTAGCTTCTTGCAAAACAAATCCACATCCTCTCTTCTTCAGAAAGGTGGCAGTGTTGCCCTGCGGTTTTGACCAAATTGCAAAGCAGTGGCCATGTCTCTAGTGGATTAACAGACCAACCGCCTCACCTCACCACGGAAAGGAAAGGATGGATTAATCCACTGCAGAACCTAGTCCCTGACAGACCGGCCCCGGATCTTCGGGGCACTGAGTCTTGTAGCTGCCTCCGTTCTCAAGGTTTCATCTCGCTTTGACAGTACAGAGCCATAGAAAATCTCCAGTGGACCCCACAAGACATCTAAAAGCCAGGAGCATCTAAGCAAGTCCCAGAGGACCCTACTTTCCAGGATCCACTCTTCTCATTTTTTGGTAACATCCGTCCAAGTGAAATGCTGCGTGCGTGGTCCCACTTAGAAGGGCTATGGAAAACTTAGCAAACTATGCCAGCATCCTTCTAACACCTGTTATGGGAAATGTTCACATCACAGTTTATATAAAGTAACCCATCTTCTAAGCGGAAGTTGTACCGTTTACTGAGCAGTTTGTTACCACTTTTATAAAACCGATATCCTACACAGAGCTATTGACAAAGAACCAAAGAAGTCTCCCCGTCTCAGTGTGGAGACCCACACACATCAACACCTTCCAGGGGCGAGTTACCACCCTATGTGTGAGGCAGTTAAAGGCCCGTCTCCTCTCCACTCACCTTCACTCAGCGTCCTCTGAGAAGTTCCTCTATCGCCACTAACACAGAAATTTGGGGGAAAAGTCTCCATTTATAAACATCAGATGGTTTGGGAAAAAATATTTGTGGCACTGGACTTCTTTTTTTCCTACAGTGATGTCATTTTAAATACTTGGTGTGCTCCAAATTTGCTATTTTTACTTCCCCCAAGTGACTTTTTTTGGGAAATACATTTGTTTGGATTAGCTCCATTTGAAGTGACTCCTGTATCTAATAGAACAGCATCAGGTTCATTGTCTCAGCAATTCTGACTGATACTGTGCAGCTCTCCAACTTGAAATCCCCTATTTGCTCACTTTCAAGGTTATTCCTGTTGGATGGACCCCTCCAGAATTTCTACTCGCAAACAGAGAGACAAAAGTAAAAGGACTGGCCTTTTCACAAACAAAAACCACACTCTATGACTCAAAGCATTTACAACAGAAGACATTAAAGGCCCCCCAAGGCACATACAATTCTTCACTTGCCAAATGTGCTTCTGGGGAACAGAGTTGAAGTAGCCAAGGCGCTGGCTTTGAAACATTTATTGGAAAGCAGTGTGGAGTTGAGACGTGCAGAAGAGGAAAAGTTGAAGAAGGAATGCCAAGTGCCTTAGCCCTACCTGATCTGAACTTGCTCCTAATCAGCAATGAGTGCTCAGACCCCAGGAGTGTCATGTTGAGTCTCAGCGAGCCGCTGGTCCCTTGGCCAGATGGCCCCTGACTTCCACCAGGTACGGGCTCCCGGGAGCCCAGTTGACCGCAGTTAACAACCCAGAATTCATCCAACTCTCCGCGAGCTCCCCCGGGTAGGAGTACAGTGGCAGCCAGTGACCGAAACCAGAGTCCCCAGAAAAGTGGCGGCCTCGCCGCGCGGGGCTACGCCACTCTCAGCTGGCGGGACCCTGCGCCTCCTCGGGGTCTGGCGGGGCGCCGCGGCATCCCAGGCGTGCGCGGCTGATGTCATAGGCTGCCCGCGCTCCTCGAGCATCCCCACCACGCCTTTATGAAGGTCCCCAGTTTGCTATCTGATCCTCTTTTACTACTGACAGGAGCTCAGCCAATCAGGAGTGGCAAGCGGGGCCCGGGACGCGGAGCAGCCGGAGGAGTCCCGGGAGCCGGTCTGAACTCTTGGCTGCGGGCGGCGCGGGGGCGGGCGGCAGGGATGCGGAGGGCGCGCGCGGGGGGCGGAGCCGGGAGCCGAGAGCGGCGGGGAGGGGAGGGGCACCGCGTAGCGTCAGGCGCGCAGGTGGGCGGGCCAGGTGGGAGGGTGGGGACCCCGGGGGAGAGGGGGCCTCCATCCCTGCAGCCTGGCAGGCGGGCGGCGGGCGTGGCCCACCCCGGGAGGGGACTTGAGCGCCCGCGCACCCGGGGCGCACCGAGCTTGGCAAGCAGGCTGGACCCCTGGCAAATAACCGAGGCTTCCAACGCACCAGGGTGAGCACATTCTCTCTCCGTTTGCGCAGGCAGAGACGGAGCATACATGTCGCAGTTCCCGTATCAAACCTGGATACACGTCCACGGAGAAAACGAAACGCCTTTCATTTTTCTGGGATACGCTCTTTTTGGACAAACCTGACTCAGGCTGTCTGCAGGTGCAGCCAGGACACAGTGCTCTCTCTCCTGGGGGAGATACACGAGTTGGAAGCCCTTTTGGGGCGCTCAGTAGAGTGGGACTCAAGGAGGGAGGGTCTCTGGAGCAGAGGGATGTCCGAGCCGGGCTTGGGCTCAGCTGGTAAAGGCTAAAAGACTTTTCCCACGAGAGAGTCCCGAATCCAACACCAAGTGATTGCGCATCCAGAATGTGCCAGGTGTGATAGGCTCGTCTGTAAATAAAATAAAGACATGCTCTCGAGAAGCTTGCTTAATCGTTGGCAGCACAGAAAATAACACGGAACTACATACACACATAGTGTTGGGTTGAATTTATTTGCAACCTTCTATGCACGTGGGCGTCGAAGTGTCATCTACTGCATGCACGCCTGCTTATGTCTGAGAGTGCTAAACCCTTCAAAGATCCGTGGGTGACAGATGAAGACCTAATATGACCACAGCTCCTGGGACAGCTTTTAATGCTCTGAGTTTGGGCCTTGCCCCAATTCTCGGATCCTTGAGTTCACCCTTTGGAACTGACCAGTCGTTGGTATAAATGAGGTCTTCTGGACTAGACCACTTAATTCCTGATATGTCAGAAAGGCGGAGCAATCCCATCCTTGTTCCTCTTGGGGATAGAGGCCTGTCCCCAGAGGCCGTTTACGGAGGATAAGATGTGCATGAGTATCTCAGTTATTATGAAACACTCATACACAAGGCATCTCTTTCCTAGTTCCGCTGGAATAAATTGTCACAACTTGAGTGGTTTCAAGCGACAAGAATTTTTATTATCTTGCAGTTCTGGAGGTCAGAAGTCCTAAGTGGGTCTCACTAGGCTGACATCACGGTATTATCAGGACTACTTTCCCTTGTGGAAGATTTAGGGGAGAATAGTTTCCTTGCCCTTTCCAGCTTCTAGAGGGCGCCCATGTTTTTTTGTCTCTGGCTTCTTCACGTTCAAAGTCAGCATGATGGGTCAAGTTCTTCTCACGTGATATGGCCCGGCCCTTTCGTCTCTGCCTCCCTCCTCATTTTAAGGACCTTGTGATTATACGGGGCCCACCTGGATAAACGCCGTTGTAAGGTCAGCTGATTATCAACCTTCATTCCACCTGCATCTTTAACCCTTCTTTGCCATGTGATGTAACGTACAGATTCCTGGGGTTTAAGATGTGAACATAGGGGGTAGGGGCATTACGGTATCTGTGACACAGAGTGACCCCTTTTCCTACCAGCCTGTTCTTGTCCTCAGTTGAACCCCAGGCTCGTGATCTTCAATGAAAAGAGGTCAAGTGGAGGGAGGTTTGGGAATAGAGCTGCCCAGGAGCCCGGAAGAACCCTGGCCAGCTTTCAGATACCTGTGGCAGGGAGGTCCTTGACAGGGAGGAGACCGGTGGGAGAAGGAATATTGCTAAATTATCTGAGCAGAGAAAACACTATTCAGAGCCATATTCAACAAAAAAAAAGCCAAACAGATTATTATCCTGAGGGCTGTGGAGCGATACATGGCAACTTGGCGGAGAATTCTTGCAGTGGAAGTCGGGATAAGGGTCTGCCTGACCCAGATGAGTTGGACAGGAGTGGACTGTTTTCCCTCTGCAGGCCCGAGAGCGTGTGTGTGTGCGTGTGCGTGTGTGTGTGTGGGGTTTCTTTTCTGAGTAAGTTTGGGAAATGCTGGTAACCATAGCCTTCCTCAAGTTTCCCATCGGAGCATGGAGCTGCTGACATCAGCCCTCTGGGATTTATACCCCCTATGGCGAGGAATATCTATGGATATAAATATGCTCATATAGAAGCTCATCCTTCCCCCCCTCTATGCAAGCATTTTTTGTGAAAAAAAAAAAAAGTTTTTGGTGGAATTTAAAGAGGATGTTCCCGAGGGAAACATGTGTCCCAAGCTGCCGTGCTTTGGGAGCAGCGGGCTAACGCAGCAATGGCAGGCCCCCAGGCTCTGTCCTGCAGTTGGACCACATTGGCAGCACTTCTCGGGGGCCTTGCTATCCCCCTGAGGCCTAGCGTGAGCCTGGGATGCGATGTGATGTAAGGGAGAGACATGAGCTGCTGGGAAGCTCTCCATTTGCATCTAAGCTACCTCTGTGACCTCGAGTAAGTGACTGAAGTCTTCTGAGATGCTGGGCATCTTCATGTAAAATGGAGCTAGAAATGCTCACTTCCCAGAAGTGTTGGGGCACTGAAACAAAATAATGCACCTGGAAGAATAATAATTACCCAGAACAATTCTTCCTGCGTGTTTTAGGTCCTTCTCTTTACCCTGCCCTCTTCTGCATCCATTCTTGATCATACCAGGTAATCCCAAATGCTTTTCCCTGGTTTTGGCTTTCCTTTCCTTTGCCCTCAGGTACCTAAGGCTGAGTCAGAACTTACCACGGATCTAGCAGCTTGCAACAGCCCACACGTTTATTTTTTTTCCAATTTACTTACTTATTTATTTTTGGCTGCGTTGGGTCTTCGTTGCTGCGTGCGGGCTTTCTCTAGTTGCGGCGAGCAGAGGCTACTCTTTGTTGTGGTGCGCGGGCTTCTCATTGCTGTGGCTTCTCTTGTTGCGGAGCACGGGCTCTAGGCATGCAGCCTTCACTAGTTGTGGCTTGTGGGCTTCAGTAGTTGTGGCTCGTGGGCTCTAGAGTGCAGCCTCAGTAGTTGTGGCGCACGGGCTTAGTTGCTCTGTGGCATGTGGGACCTTCCCGGACCAGGGCTCAAACCCGTGTCCCCTGCATTGGCAGGTGGATTCTTAACCACCGCGCCACCAGGGAAGCCCTCACACGTTTCTTATCTCCAGTTTCCATGGGTCAGGATTCAGGGCCTGGCGCTGCTGGCCCACTGCTCAGGACCTCACAGGCTGCAATCCAGGTGTTGGCTGGGGCTGTGGTCTCATCAGAGGCTCAGCATCCTTTTCTAAACTCACTGGTTGTTGGTAGAATCCAGTTCCTTGCAGCTCTAGAACTCATCGTGGCTTGCTTCTTCAAGGCCAGCAGGAGAATCTCACTCTCAGGGAAGATTCCTTTAAAGGCCTCACCTGATTAGGCCAGACACATCCAGGATAAACTCCCTTTTGATTAACTCAAAGTCATACTAATTAGGAACCTTAATTATACCTGCAAAACCTCTTTACTTTGACCATAGAACAGAATCTAATCATGGCAGTGTCATCTGTCACATCACCCACCCCTCCCAGCTACACATGAATGGATAAAGAAGATGTGGTCTATATATACAATGGAATATTATTCAACCCTAAAAAAGAATGATAAATGCCATTTGCAGCTACAAATGGCAACTAGAGATGATCATACTAAGTGAAGTAAGTCAGAAAGAGAAAGACAAATACCATATGATATCACTTATGTGTGGAATCTAAAACATGACACAAATAAACATATCTATGAAACAGAAACAGACTCACAGACATGGAAAACAAACTTATGGTTACTAAAGGGGAAAGGGGATGGGGGAGGGATGGATTGGGAGGCTGGGGTTAAGCAGATGCAAACTGGTGTATATAGGATGGATAAACAACAAGGTCCTACTGCATAGTACAAGGGACTATATTAATATCCTGGGATTAACCATAATGGAAAAAATTTTTAAAAATAAAAAATGAGTGCTAAATTAGAAATGTGGTGGGTAATGTAGCGTATCACCTCTGATTGACAACTGACTAGAGTATGAAGACTCAGTTCTTTCTCGTGGGACCCTGAAGTCAACTGACTGGAAATGGCAACTCAGAAATGCCTCCTAGTTACATCCTGATTTCCTTTTCCCACCTGGAACTCTCGAGAATTCTCAGCTCCTCCGGGCACCCATAGCACCAGTGCAAGTCCCTTAATTTTCAGCTTCATTGCCTTCACAGTAAGTCCATCTCTGGGGCCAGTGGAACATGTGTGCGAGCTCAGGGAGATTCATGCAGTCCCGCTTGGCGACCCCTGTGACGAAATTTGTGCTCTAATCTCCAAGGAGCTCCACCTAGATCCTGGGATGGAGGGGTGAAATCTGGACTACCAATTACCTACTTCAGGAATACAGCCTGCACCTATCAATTTCAGTGTCAATTTCCTGTCAATTTCAGGCTATCAGTCTCCATTCCAGAAATGTTTATAAAGCACAGACCTCCTTCTAGCACTGTAAGGGTTATAAAGATAAAGCAGATGTGATCCTGGACCTCCAGGGGACAAGAATAGGGTGGCAGGGCCTCCACAAACTCCCAATAAACCAGAAATCCAATGTCATTGTTACACTAGTAATGAGATCTCAGATGGAACTCGTGTGACCCACCCTATTCATATAGCCTGTTTTCTTTCATGAACGTGAGTATAAAAAGACTTTTGCCTGATTTAAACAAAGACTTTAAGTTAAACACATGTAAA